ACACTGAGTCAAATAAACCTTTCCTCCTTTAACTTTGGTTGTTGGTTATTTTGTCTCAGCAAGTAGAAAAGTAATCCTCCTGCCTCAGCCTCCCAAGTTCTGGAGTAATGGACCAGGATGTGTAAGTAAAGCATTGCCTGAGCTCCCTGGGTGCTCTAGCAAGTGAATGAATTACATGCAGGGAGCTGTGGGACCCCAGTCAGTCAGAAACAGGTCCCAACCTGGGGCTTGCAGTTCCCATCTGAAGTGGAAGAGGGCAGTCTTGGGGACCAGGTCCTTGCTCTGTAGGATTTCCAGAATTGAACAGTGTCAGAATTGAAGGGATCACAGAACACCCACACTCTGGCGAGCTGACTGGATGGATGGAGGTGGGGAGAAATCCTTCTGTGACTGGAGGCCACAGGAGTCTTTGTGCTGTGTTGAGTGCCAGGGAAGCCGTCTTTGTATCCTCTATATTGTCAGGAGTTGCTATGGTTTAGACTTGAAATGTCCCCCAAGACTTTTGTGCAGAAGGCTTGGTTGCCAGATGAATGGATTAACTGACTGAGATTATAATTTCATGGTATTTGCGGAGAGAATGGCAACAGGAAGTGGGACTTGGTGGAAGGGAGTAGTTTTGGGGACTAGATCTGGGGTCCCCACACATGTCCTCTGTCCCTGCCTCTTAGCTGCCAAGAGGTGAGCAGGTTTCCCCAGCCTAAAGCAACAAAGCCAGCCAAACTTGGCCGAAACCTCTGAGACCACGAATACATCTTTCCTCCTTTGTTTTGCCCAGGTATTTTGTCATGGATAAAAAGCTGACTAACACTGGCACTTAGGGTGATTTGTCACTTTGCTGTGGGAGGGAACACTGCAGCATCCCAATGGAATAATCCAGTGACAATTATGGGTGCCTCAGACAGATGAGACCTTGAGCCAGTAAAGAAGTGCAGAATCCAGGGCACGAGGGAGGGATTTGTGTTTCCTGAGAGCAAGGACACCTCCACTGGAACAGGGGGAAGAACCAAAGGCGGACACCCAAGGAAATTTATCTGGGAGCGGGATAGTAAGTTGGAGGTAGGGGCCAGGGAGATGGCTCAGTAGAATAAGCGCTTGCCTGGCAAGCTCAAGGGCCTGAGTTCAATCCCCAATTCCGCCAAAAAAAAGAAAAAAAAAGAAAAAGTAAGTTGGAGGTAATGAGTAAGTTTACTCGTGACAGCTTCTGCTTTCTCAGTGGAGTGTGGGATGATCTGCAGGGAGGAAGGGGGCCTAAGAGAGCAGGGAGAGTATGACACAGACACCTCAAAGTGAGACACTGAGAAAACTTGGACTGGAGGTTTGCGGTCATTTGTTTAAAGTACAGTAAGTCTCTTACCCCCTCACAGGTCTTCCTTTGCTATTATGGCCAGTGGGATAGGCTAGCAGTGTTTCAAAATCTGTCTGTCTGTCTATCTATCATCTATCTATCTATCTATCTATCTATCTATCTATCTATCTATCTATCTATCTATCATCTTCCAGCATCTGTTAACCTAACATCTATCTATCAATCATCTGTCTGAGGATAATGGGCACTGTGTTTTCTGCTATTTATTTCTCATTCTTTTTCTTGCCCTTAGTGTTGGCACTATAGCTTTTGCTACTGCTAGATTTTTGACTGCTACATTTTCTCCTTGAAGATCACTCATGCTCATGACCTCAATCAGTCTCTGTGCACCTGATACCCTCAACATTGTCCGTATCCCAGTTCTCTCTTTTGAGCTCAGACTCAGTACCTGTCATTGGCCATCTCTGTTGGAATGTCAAGCTGGTTCAAATCCAACACGTGGAAGACTTAACTTCATGTTTTCTGCCCCAGCCCACCTCTTCTACCTCCTTAAAGTCTCTGTGAGCAGTGTGCCCGTCCAGTGGATTCAAAGCAGGACTCAGCATGGCCCTTGTTGCTTCCTCTGCATCACTGTCTTGACCCTTTTCAGGCCAACCATACACCTCTTGCCAGGCCCCTGAGACTCTCCTGCCTGGTCTTTCTGTCTTTGGTTTTATCTTGCCTTCCCCAACGTGGAACCCAGAATTAAACTCAGGCCTTTGCGCTTGCCAGGCAAGCGCCTATTCTACTGACCTATCTTTCCAGCCCCCACCCCATGTTTTTTTTAAAAAAAATCTATTTATTTGTTTTGTATTTTTAGGAAAGGGTCTTCAGGGTGTTCAGGGTCTACTAGATCGGACTCGGAGTGATCCGTAGGCTGTTTACAGCCTCCCAAGAGTTGGGATTACAGGTGTGCGCCACCACGCCCAGTCTCAATTGCTGTCTCAGAGTGTCCTGGGGCAGGACTGGTATTGCAGGCCCAGGGATGGAACCCCTAGCCCCAACTCTTAAGCTTCATTTCATATAACAAATATGCGCATAGTGGAATTTGGTTTCAGAGGGCTCTCTACTTGCAACTTATCAAGCGAAAGGCGTGATGCTAAGCTCTTGGGGACACTGCCTTGTAGTCACCCCTATTATAATGAAAACTCCTTTCCCCTGGGCTCCTCCATAGTTTCTTAAAGTCCTTCTGATCCACTCTCCCAGGGGTTTCCAGCTCTGGTTGCCAGGCATCCAATTCCACTCGTGCTCTTTACACAGAAGAGTCTAACATTGGGGTGACTGTGGTGAGAGTTCAGACACTGTAAAAATAAAGCTGAAACTTACCAATGACAGCTAACAGCTTCTCACTGTCCCAAGGATAAACCCAAGGTTTTTTGAGCAGAGCTTATTGAACTTTCTGTCCAGCTTCATGTCCCCCTGTTGTCACCAAGCAATTCCGTTTGCCACGTATGCTGCTGTTTTCTTGTGCATGGACGTAGCAACACACTTCCATCTCTGCCCCAGGGATTCGGTTGTGCCTGTCACCCTCCCCCCTCCCCGTGCCTTGCCTCTCTCTGGCAGCCCCTCCCACCCTGGATGGAGACCATCTTTTGCCCAGCTGCCTTCCTCTGCTGCTCTGCAGGCTGTGGATGTAAAAGAGCCCTCTCTCTCATTCTCTCAGGGTCTTTCACAGCAAAACAATGCCACTTTTCTTTCAACATTTGTTCACACGTTACAGTAGTCTGTTTCAGTTTTTAAACTGCAGTTTTTGACAGGCAGAAGTGGAGAGGGAGGAGGTACCAAGGAGGGTTCAATTTCAACTAAAGCTTTACACAGATTACTCTTTGCATATTGAATAAGGTGGGGAACAAGGTCCCCTGTGACATCTTAGGACAGTTTTTGTACTAACTTTGAAAATGGACGTGTGATAGTGGCTTTCTCAAGATTTTCATTATCATATTTAATCTTCTGCTGGCAGATAGGTACCTGATTCCTATTTAAGAATGATATGGATGATACATTCTGTTGTGTGTTGTGTACTACTGAACTGGGATCATTTTAAAAACCAGTTTGTGATGCACAATAATTATTCATTGTGGGGAATTGGTTCCTGAACATACTACATCTTATTTTCACTCTCTTCCTCTCCTTACCCTCCAGTATCCTTCCATCCCCATAAACCCGAATCATTTTGAAGAAATCACACTACCTAACTTGCTGAATATTCTTACTGGGTAGTTAGGACAGAATAATCTCACAGCATGTTCCTCTCTTCAGTATCACCTGTTTGAAAAAATTGTGGGCCCCCATAAATTTGTCCTAAAAGCTGGGTTCGAGTATGAATAAGCCTGGAACACCAGATGTTATGGCTTGTACCTAGGTGCCCTCCAAAGCCTCATGTGGCCTAGGTGGCACTTTGGAGAGGTAGCTGGATCTAGGGTGTGGTGCTAGATTGAGGGTGTGATTACTTAGCTCCCACTAGGTGTGGATAAGGGGAGGGCCTTCCCTGGGTGTGGGGGGCTCCAGGCATGGGTGAGGCAGGGTGCTGCGCTGTTTTCTGCCTGGCACCGACTACTCCTCTGTGACACCCCTCCTCCATGCCACCCTGTCTTGGAGCCAGCCAAATATGAACTGCAATCTCCATAAACAGCTAAATAAACCCTTTCTCCCTTAACTTCAGGCGTCAGGCATTCTGTCTCAGCAGTGAGCACAGTAACTGGCAGCAGCTGTTCTCCATTTGGTCTCATTCTGTGGCTCAGGCTGGCCTATGACGTGTGATCTTCCTGACTCTGCCTCCAGTGTGCTGGGATTACAGGCGTTCACCACCACAACTCTACAGAAAATCTTTTATGACTGTAAAATGTTACCTACCTAAAATATCTTGCCTCATAAGAGTATCCTGTCTGGTTGTTGCTTTTCTCCTCAAAGAAAATCACTGTTGAGTGGGTACAAATGACTGACAACATGCAAAAATTTTATTATTATTAAAACACTTTATTATAAACTTCTCCAGAATATAAATTGATTTTGTATCAAGACTCTTTGAAACTTTTAGAACTATATGTAACATAAGCTTATTTTTATTATTATAATGCATTAATTTTCCACTTTCCAACCTAGAAAATATACTGCAAGTTAACAAGGAGGAACAAAATCTAAACTGCTTTATAAAGAAAACCAAAAAAAAACATAAAAATACCCAACTCAAAGCTAAAAACAAATCCAATCAAGAAATAAATTCTGCAAGGCCTATTAATCCTCCAATTTAAAATAAATTATTTCCCAAGAGAAAATAATTCCACCATCATGGCAATTTCAATAAACCAGAACCACTCTCCTAAAAGGAAATTTTATCAAATGTAAGAAAAATGTAATGTTCTAGGAAAATGAGGAAAAGGAATTTCCACGTTGGAGAACAAGCATACTAAGCACTTCATGTTCACCTGGCCTTTGTTAGAACTCAACTACCTGTTCACATGAGTGATAGGAACATGACTATCACAAAACCAAGCTCCTTAGCTATGCTTTCCATTTCAACCTTAGGAGAACCAACCACAGAGCTTCAAAATCCAAGGATAGACTGGTCCCAAAACATTTCTTCCTCCGTTCTTTCTTCACCTTGCTCCTTTTTCTCTTTTCTGTGCTTCTGGTCCTCCTTCTTAGAGGCCAGCTCTCAGCTTTTCCTCTCCTTTCGATGCTTAGGCTTTTCTGTACCACCCTGTGCAGCGTCTGTTTCTATCTCAGTTTTCTTTCTTTGGATGCTCTCATGTTCTTCCAAATCCACCTCCAGACCTCTTTTCCTCTTATGCTTGGGCCGCTCCTCCTTTGGTTTCTCTTTGCCTTTCTCTGGGTGCCTCCTCCTTTTCTGATGACTGGCTGGATGGGCACCAGTCCTGGCTCCCAAGAAGAGATGCTCGGAGCTTCCAGCGTCTGTGCTGGCTGAACCGTGATTATATGCTTGCTGGCTGAGGTTCAGGGGCACTGGTTTTTCAGAGAAACAGTCTCTACAGTACTGACAGTAGCTCAGAGATTCTAGTCTTGGCCTGTTGTCATGAACTGGGAACCACTGAGGTAACCAGTTTTCTGTTTGTGAAATATTGTGTGGTCTTGGGTAAGTCTGGACAGTTCCAGACGGGAGTCTTTGATCAAACATTCTATACCTGGGCCTGGGATCAACTTCTTCCCTGTACCCACAGCTTTCCAAGTAGTCCTCCCTCATCCTTCTGAAACAAGTCTTTGGCTCTAAGCCTCTGGCTTTCTGCACTTTAATATAATCTTCAAGTTCATCTTGAAAAGAGTCATATGACTTTGAATGCTTCATTAGGTTGACAAAAAGGGATTCTCTGTAAGGAAGATGGGAAGAAAAGCCTTACTAGATTATTTTGTTTCATTTCCTCTCCTCGTAAAAAAAGCTTCAAATATAAAGCAGCCCAAACAAATTAAAACCTATGCCAGTATAAAGTTAACTATTCTGACAACATATGCTAAAAAGCAGCGTCAGCATGACCAAACACTTGGCAGGGCACTCCTCAGTAAGTGTACCCTTCTCTAGTGGGAGGAAAAGGACAGAAAGGAGAGAGAGAGGATGGTGTTGAAGATCTAAAAAGGAGAGCTGCATCCAGAGGCTGAGTGAGGACCGCACATCTGTGGTGGTGATGGGGCTGACCTGGATATTTAAGTAATTTCTAGAGTTCTGAAAAAAAGTTTTTTCTGATTAATCAACTTGCTGTATGTCGGTTTCTAAGAGAACCACAAAAAGGTAATTTTATCTTTAAACAAAATAAACCACACTCACCTGACTATAGTACTGTAAGGCTTAATAATAAAAGGATCTTTGTAAAATGGTTTGGGAGTGCTGGAAATGATTCCTTTCTGAGCTGAAAACTACTCTTAGGTGTAGTGTATGAGGGACATGAAGCTTTGTACCTGCTGTGTAGCATTTGGATTTTGTTCTATGACTTGTGATTGGTTAGGAAGCATTCTAGAACACCTGGTTTGTTCTCTCACAGTACTGGTGACAGGATTAAGGGAGGACATAGAGGAGAAAGTGGAGGAAAACTGATACAAAAAAGTTTCAGAAGATCATAGATGCATCAGAACTTTGCTTGTTTGGTTCTTTTATGGGCAGGAAAGGCGGGATCCACTAACTGTTCCTAACACTCTCACTCCCACTTTAAATCCTGAATAAATACTAACAGAGCAGAAAGTGTACTTACTATGATAAACACCCTACACACTCTTAGGGACTATTTCATCTCCCAATATTAGAAGGCAGCAGTGAAATGCATGTAGAAATGAATATTCCTTCTCTTTAACAGAAACAAGCCTGATGTAGGACTCTAGAGTCACTCATGATCAACTATTTTCTTGGCGATTTGAGATGAAAAGTTTAATTGAGGCCTAATTTGACGAATTAGGAAAATCATTTGATTTTCAACTTTAGTATGAAAACTCTGATTAGGATGATAATGTAACAAGCACTTGATTAAATTGTAATACACACACACACACACACACACACAATCACATGAAAAGATGAAGATCATTAGTCATCATGTGTTAGTTAAAACCACTGTATCACACTGCTTTGGTTTGTGTCTAGCTATCCCCCCACAGCCTGATGCAGGAGGGGCAGGCTTTTTCAGACGTGGCTGAATCTGGAATTTGTGAATGACTCGTAGTGCAATGCTAGGAATGAGGGTGCTGGGATTAAGGCTAGGTGAGTGTTGGATTAGCCCACTGATTGGATTGGCACTGCTCTAATCCCAGTAGTCTGGATAAAAGAAAAGGGGCAGAAAGAGGCTTGTTCCCCCTCTGGCTCTTATTGCTTCTGCTTTCTTCCACTGCCAAGAACAGCTGCCCTCTGCCATGTGTCACTCTGCCTTGGAGCCAGATGATTATGGACTGAAACCTCTATCAACTGTGAACTAAAAAACCTTCCCTCCTTTAACTCTGGCTGTCAAGTATTTTGTCTCAGCAATGAGAAGAAAGTAACTGAGACACACACAGAGAAATGAGATGCACACACAGGAATGACTGAAATCAAGACTGACACACTAGCACTGGGAAGGATGCAGTGCCACGGGGGTGGGGGGAGGTTCACAGATTGCTGGCAGGAACACAAAATGGTACAAACACTTGGCAGTTTGGCAGTTTGATAAGAAGTCACCTACACACTTACCAAATGACCTACCTGTACCAAGCCTAGGTATTTACCCCAAAGAAAAGAGACACACCTAGCAAAAGACTTGTGTAAGAATGTTCTTAGTAGTTTTATTTGTAGTGCCAAAAGACAGAACCCTCAAATTTTACTCAGTGGGTGAATGGGTGAACCAAATTGTGTTACGACCACACAATGGTACAAATACTATCCATGGTAAAGAGTGGAAACAATCTGTCCATCAGTTAAGTGGCTGTATTCATATAACAGAATCAAAATGTGGTGCATTCGTAGAGTAGAATACTGTTTAACACTAAAAAAGTAATGAAGTATTGATATACAGTAGGACATGCACAAATCCTGAAGATGTTATGCTAAGTGAAAGATGACAGTCCCAAAGAGCACACACAATACAGACATGCATGAAGAAGTGAAGGAAACCGTACCTCTGTCAGGCTGAGGACTGGCTGGAGAGATCTGATCATATTTATCTAGTACTTGCTTCAGTTTTTCAGCATGAACTACCCGCAAATAGTGAGACTGTGCAACAATCAGGTAGCTAAAAATCATGATGCAGAGATTACAAAATTTAGTTTTTGTCAATATTTCCATTCACCTGAAATCACGCAGTCTTGTTATGAAGATTAATTCAAAGTTTTTAACTGTATAACATAGACAAATTATCTTAAGCTCATAACATCCATCTATCTTATTATTTTGCTTCCTATAAACCTGAAAAAGAAGCCTTACTTTGTTCATGTGTGCGCACATTGCCTAGTACTTGGTATCCCAGATATCACAGTACCAGTTAGTAGAGCCAGTAGTCACCCAGAACTGAAGAGTATTGAGAACACTGTGGGAAAAGATGACTATAATATAGAGCACTAGATTGCTCTTCTAGGATACCGTTAGACAGGGAAGATGATACAGATGCTGAATCAGATAAAGGGAAAGAACAGACAGCGAGTCTGACCTCACTTACATGGTCAGACACGTCTGGACTAGCTGAGGTGTTTTGCTGCTTACCTCTAGCGTTCTAGAATTCTAAGCCTGTAAAACGGGAAATGAGCGTAAGATGGCTGTGTTTATGTTTATAATCTTTAACTACTGCAAGAGAAGCCTCCAGGCAGGGGTTTACTATCTCTTGATTTCTACTAGTAGTTTCCAGTTTTAACTTTAAAACATCACTCATTTTCTTTCTCTTCTCTCCTCCCTGCCACCCGTACCATACTGGGGATTGAACAAAGTGTCTTCACACTCAGTTATGGCCCTAGGCCTTTTAATATTTTAAGACAGGATCTCAGTCAATAAGCTGTCCAAGCAGGGTGTGAACTTGTGATCCTCCTGCCCTACCCTTCCAGAGGACTGGAATTATGTGTGCCTTACCAAGCTTGGCTTTTTATTTTCTGTAAGAACTTAGGGTATAGTGGCTTTCTGGATATAGCAGAAGACACGGCGAAAAGAAAATGAGCTTCAAGATTATTAAGAGCTGAGCTTAAATACTAATCACCCAAGTGTATGTAAGTTAGTTGTCTTTTCTTTGCCAGTCTCCTCATTCATTAAAAGGACAATGTCTTCCCAGACAGGGTTCTTGCAAAGATTAAATAAGATGACATGTATGAGGTTTACTCGCTACACTGAAATGCTTCAGTAGGATGTATTTCTTTCATTTTCAACCTACCTCATAATGGACAATCTTTTATTATTGAAACTGGAGCACTACTCCACAGATGCCTTTTAGAAGAAGCACCTGTAAATTCAGTCTTCCTTCATTCACTATAGTATCTATGGAGCAAATGGAGAGAAGACAGATCATATTAAACATTTAAGGTATTTTCAACTATGTAGTGGTATTATTCCACATACCACCTCAAATCCTAATATCCTGAGTGCTTACAATGCTACAGTAAGAATGACAATATGAAAACCTGTAGTAAGCCTCTAATGTTTACTATACCATGTTTAATGTTTTTATTTGGTTCAGAAAATACCATTTTAAAGGAAGTTACTGTAGCAGCAGCAAGAAAATACTTTATGGCAACAGACTGAGGTACCAATACATAGAAGTTGGCTATAAAATTCAGTCACACCATTTTGTTTTATAGCAAATAATCTCAAAAAAGGCAGTACTTTATTTTCAGTGATACTGAGGATCGCCCAGAATCTTCCCGAGCTACATTCCCAGCCCTTTTAAAATTCTTTTTGCCTTTGATTTTATTGGTCTAGATACATGATACATCTTTAGATACACATAATCACATTCATCATAGGGAATTTGTACCTGTACATGATGTATCTTGCTTTTTCCCATTCCCCTCCCTGCCCTATTTATAAAAGCTTTCCCTTTTTCTTGTTCCTTATTCCCTTTATCTCACCCCTCTCTTGTCCCCCTTCTCATTTGAACATTTTCTCATTAACATTTATTTTGAGGCCGGGTCTCATTAAGTTGCTCAGTTGCCCAGGTTGGGCCTGGATCTGTGATCCTCCTACTTCAGCCTCCGAGAGTGCTGGGATGAAATGTGTGCTATTACACCCAGCTTGCAGTACATTAGGATAGTCACCAATTCTACTTACACAGGTCCCTTCGTATCTGTGGGTTCCACATCCTTGGATAAAACCAACTGCTGACAGTTGATATTTGAAAATAGGGCCTGTCCTAAACATGTGGGCTTCCCCCCCTTGTCATTATTTCCTAAACCTGTGACATGTTTACAAAGCATATTATTATGAATAACCGAGAGATGATCTGATGTGGGAGAACACATGGTCATATGTAAACATCTCATTTTACATAAGGGACTTCAACATCTGTGATTTTAGTATCTGCAGGTAACCAATCCCCTATGGATACTAAAAGATGACTTGTATGCTACGAATGTCACTTGAGCATCACAAAGAAGTCACAAATGGGTCTCCCTTACTTGAAGTAGGCAATGTTCTTCTATAGTTGGTACTGTGATCATGTTTTATTTAAAAGGTTCACACAAGCTCAAGCTGTAGTCATATTTATCTATCAAATTCAATGAAGCTTTTTCATAATAAATAATCCATGCTCAAAATGCTTCATTTACATTCGAGGTCTACCATTAAATCTGAAGTTCTCAAAAAGCTAGCCATGGTGGTGCGCACCTGTAAACACTGAGATGCTGAGGTAGGAAGGTCACACATTCAAACTCATCCTGGGCAACTTAGTGAGACCCTGTTTCAAAATTTAAAAAAAATTTTAAAGGCCTAGATGTAGCTCTGTGTGGGTCCTGGGTTCAACCCCCAGTACCGAGTTGGTGGTGGGAGAGACGTTCCAATAGGTGTAATATGTCTATTTTTTGTCTTGCGATATAGTCCAGGCTGACCTTGAACTCATGGTGATCCTAACGTACAACGTTTGGGGGTTATAGGCATGTGCCTCTATTACACCTAGTAAATGTTTCATAGAAGCTTATGGACCTTTAAGTTGGGATGCTATGGTGTGAATGCCCCTCAAAGAGCTCGTGTTGGAACTGTAAGGTCGAATGAAGCAAAGTTGGGAGGTGGGGGTCCATGGGAAGTGGTCAGTGTATGTGGGTAGCCTCTTTATTGATGTATTAATGCCTACGCTGAGGGACACACATTTGCACCACAGGGGGATGTAGGAAGGTTCTTGCCAGACACTAGTCCCTTCACTCAGGAGTTCCCAGCCTCTAGGACAGTGAGGAACAATCTCTTTCCTATATAAATCACCCAGCTGTGGTACTGTTACAGCAACACAAAATGGACTAACAGATGCCAACTGGATAACACCAAGACTATGCAGCTCAGTGAATCAAAACCACACCCAATGGCATGAAAACGTGTCCACGATGAATAAATGGACAAGTTGTAGGATGCTAAGTATCTATTAAAAAATTTAGTGTTTAAACCCAACATATACAAGCAATTGCTGGGCATGGTGGTGCACACCTGTAATCCCAGCACTCAGCGAGCCAAGGCAGGAGGACTGCTTCAAGTTCAAGGTCAGCCTGAGCTATGTAGCGAGTTTAAGGCCAGCCTTAACTACATAGTGAGAACCTGTCTCAAAAAAACACGCAAGCAAAAATTAAATACGTATACACATATTTACTATAGGTGAGAAGCTACTATGGCTGGCTTCAGATCCACTTCCCGCCTTCTTGGGGGACAGGGAAGACAGATGACATCCAGACCTGAGCCAAGAGCTTCTCTGTGCCGAGGAAGAGACCTCATGTCTAAATTTTCCCTAGTAAGGAGTCACTAACTAGGGGTTGCTCACAGTAATAGGTCCCAAATCTAGGCACAGCTCATGTTACATAAGCCACATATTCCTGGGGTAGCATAGAGGTGAGTCAAGATCTCTTGTAGCAAGCACCTGTAAGCCTCACCTAGAAATCTTCTGGGGCAGAGCTACATGTTGGACATTGGAAAACTGCGCAAGGAGCCATCTTTCACGGGCTAGACACTTCTCTACTTCATCTGAGGCTCTCAATTGCCTACATCTCTGAAAAATGTTAAGCTTTGCTATAGGGATATATCGCTGATGCATGTGGATCTGCCTGTAATAGTTCAATCTTGTGTCAGCTAAACTTTTATAGAAAAAAAATCGGGAAAGATGTATACTAAATAGGTTCTAGGAAAAGGCTAGGGTTTTTGGTTAGGGTTAGGGAAATGGTTGGGTTTAAAAACTGAACCCTAATGGTTAGGGTTTGTAGTTAAAAGCTCCACAGCCACCAGGCATAGTGGTGCATGTCTATAATGCCAGCTCTCAGGACATCGAGGGAAGATGGCTCAAAAATTCAAGGACATAGGGTTACATAGTGAGTTTAGTTTAAGACCAGCCTGGACTATGTAGTGAGACCTAGTCTGAAAAAACCCCACCAAACCAAAAAGTCCATAAATATTTGTTACACTGGATATCTTCAAAATAAGCTGTCAGTGTATAGAGTTAAGAAGTTTGCTTACACTGGGTTTGAGGCAGGACTGCTTTAAGTTCAAGACCAGCCTAGACTACACAGCAATACCCTATCTTAAAAGATAAAAAAGTTTCCTTGAAAATACGGGCTCAAAGTAGTAACTCTAAACCAGAAAGTTAAAAAAAAAATGCGATAAACTAAAATATGTAATATCTCTCAATTATTTGAGTTGTTTAAAATATGTATTTTCCATTTGTCTCTAAAGTCAGCAAGATAAAAGGATTAACTACAGAGGTTTTCAGAACTTCCTTTTAATTCAGAATATACACAAACTGACTATGGTGATATGTTCCGCTTATTACCTTTCTGCATTAAGACAGGCAGAGCTCACCATTTTGCCCAGGCTGGTCAGAATACTCAGGCTCAAGCCATCTTCCTGCCTGTCTTGTCTCCTTAGCAGCTTGGACTTGGCTATTAGGGAAGCGATTTTCAATCATTTCAGGCTTTCAAGCAGTTTTAATGGTCCACTCAGGATTTTTCGAGACAGGGTCTAGATAGGTAGTTCACACCTGCCTTGAACTCACTACATAGCTCATCAGATTCTCAGGGATCCCCCTGCATCAGCCTCCTGAGTGCTAGGATCAAAGGCATGTAGCACTACTCTTGGATAGACCTTTGCCTTTATTTTGTGATACTGGGGACTGAACCTAGAACTTCACACAATTTAGGCAAACATTCTATTACTGAGGTACATTCCCCAGCCCTCTTTGAGACAGTCTACGTGGTCCAGGATGGCTCAAAACTCACCATCTTCCTGGTTCAGCCTCTTGAGTTCTAGGATTACATTATGTGCCACTATGCCTGGTTCCCACTGACACTCTGCATGCGTCACTATGCCTGGATCCTACTGACACTCTGTGATGTGATATATCTGAGCATAACACTTCTTTGGTAACTTCTGGAGGAATCTCAAAAAAAAAAAAAAATGCTGGTTAAGTAACAAGCTATTGTTTTTCTCTTCTTGTATCTCAGGCTGGCTTCAAACTTTTGACCATCCTATTTTAGCCTCCTGTGTAATGGGGTTACAGGGATGTGTCATCATGCCCAGCTAATTTAAGGCTTTTATAACTACCTAAAATTAAGAAGTAGAAAGTCCTAATTGTGCTTTAAATAGTGTTAACATACCAAATATTTACCTTTTGCTAAGTCAGTTACCTGAACTGCTAATGAGAAAGACATTAACCTGAAATACAGTGATAGAATAACTTTTTAGGTAACAATTACATTTTGTTAAATAATGCCAACAGTAACTCAAAAGATTTCATTACTTTTTGAATGTCATCTGATGGCCATGAAAGGGCAGTTTCATGAATTGCATTTCTAGTGTACAGCCTGACTGGGGAGAATTACCAATGCAGGAGTGCCAGAGCCGCTGCTTCAGAGCTACGCGCAGTTAGCGCAGTTAGGGCTCCTCAACCTTGACATTCCCGACGTTTTGGGTAGAACACTCCTAGTTTGGTTTCTGTGTGGTTGTTCCACATATTTTAGGATGTTTGTGACATATCTCTGGCCTATACCAAATTGCCTGTGGCACCTGTGCTCGCTTACATGCCCCTCCCTACCTAGAGGTGGCAAGGAAAAATGTCTCCAGACATTCCAGGTGGGCTGGGTGTGAGATTCCCTTTAATTGCGAACGCTGAACTAGTCCCAATAATCAACCCAATGGATGACAAAACTCAAGTCCAGAAGTGTGAGACTTAGAGCTTGTTGAGAAATGATCACCTATTACTAGTCAAATTGGTAAGTTCACTATTCTCATTTTACTACTTTGAAGTTCGGTAGAAGTTATTGTTAGCACTGTATAAACTGCCATCTTTTAAACTCTGCACAACATACAAAATCAGTGCAAAAAAACCCCAAAACAAAACAAAAAAACAACCCTCCAAATATCAAGTCTGGCAGAAGCTATTTTCCCATGAGGAGCTGTTCTCAAATCTTCCTGTGATCTGGCCATGTAATCTTTTCATTGATGTATTTGGTACATGGTCTCACTACACAGCTTGGATTCATAGTGATCCTCCTGTTTTCAGCCTCCCCAACACTGGAATTATAGTGCCCCAGGGGTGGGGCCGGTGGCCATGTAATCTTGACACCTATAAGCTGCTCAGACATACTTGGTGATGAGCAGGAAGTTTGGTATAAAAGTGGAAAAAAAAAAAAGATATTTTTTAATCTCAGATAGTGAATGGTATTTATCCTCTAGGCTGACTGAAGACACTCACCTGATTGCAGCTAGTTTCTAATGAACTTTATTATATTTGTTTTGTAGGACTGGGGACTGAACCCAGGGCCTTTGCACAGAACTACACCCCTAAGCAGCCCTTTATTATTCTGAAACAAGGTCTTGCTAAGTTGTCTAGGCTAGGCTGGAACTTGTAAACCTCATGCCTCAGTCTCCTAGAGTACTTGGATTGTTGGGTGTCTGCCAACACCCCAGCAAGAAATTCTTTTTTATAGGGTTATTACATTTATGGGTTTCCCTCCTAGAGAAAGGAATCTAAATCACTGTAATATTGTGGCTTCTATCATTCTTTATAGATAAAATCAGATACAAATAAACAAAAAACCTCACAAAAAAACCAAAAACAAAGCAAATAGCCAAGTTTGTAAAATTAAATGTCTGAATGTTTTACTGAGATCTTCTGAAGGGAAATCAAGAGCCATAATCTAAAATTATCTTCAAAACTACTTTAAAGTCTTATCTGCTAGTTCCCAACAAGCAGACCGTTTGAAGGTATACAGTACTTCTAAGAACTCAAACATCTCTTTGCTTGGGATGGTCAATGAACACCTGTGTCATGGAAAGTGTGTTGGTGAAAACTGTAAAAACTCCAAGTCTGAACAAAGAGACTGAACCAAAACTGAACCATGACCTCCAGCAGTCTATGACCAGGTCTCGGGGATAACCAATCAACTCCCCTCCTACTTAGAATTCTGGTTTGGAAAAACTCTGGGCACTCCGAAGAATTTAGTTTTAGCCAACACGTGATGACAGGCTCCTGATCTTGCCTTTTCTTTTTTTTTTTTTTCCCCGAAGGCAGGGTCTCCCTATGTGGCTCAGGCTGGTCTTGAATTAATTCACTATGTAGCCAGGCTGGTTTTGAACTTGCCATGATCCTCCTGCCTCAGCCTCCCAAGTGCTGGGATTACAGGTGGTTGCCACACCCAGCTACATTGCCTCACCTATTTTTTTTTTGTGCTGGGTACTAAAATGCCATGCATGCTAAGTAAGAGAACTCTACCACTAACCTACATGTCCACTGATGACCTGTTTTAGAAAGCACTGACTCAAATGGGCTTAACTGTACATCTCTCTCCTATGTGCTGTTTTTCTTTTTGGTGCTGGGACAGAACCCAGGGTCTAGTGTGAGTGCTACCATGTCGCCACACCCCAGCCTTCTTTCCCAGGTCTTTCAGCAATTATTTCCCAAGGAGGGGCGGGCCTGTCTCCTGGCTTTGTGGGAGCTTAACTAGATTAATTCCTCGCCAGCACCAGCAGACAGCTGGCCTACTTGCCTCAGCAGTGACTAACCCTCTGTGATTATTCAGCTCCGGTCCTTACGCATTCTCCTTTCAAAGTCCCAGTCACCTCTGAACAAATACGAAAAAAGTTCAACTTTTCTCCCCCACTGTTTGTAGTGAAGAAATAGTTTTCACTTTCTAACATCTAAAAATATTTTTATTTCTATTCCTGGTAGATACACATTAAAACTCAGACCACTATTAAGATGGGCTTGTAATCTTAGTAACATCTTACAGTATCAGCCTCAAAAAGTTTGAGAAAGACGCCACCCTGTGGTCTCAAAACTCTGGGAGGCTGAGACAGGAGGATCGCCAAGTGGAGCCCGGCTTGGGCAATTTAGCAAGACTATCTCAAAAAAAAAAAAAAAAAAAAAAAAGGCTAGGGATGTAGCTCAGTGAAAAGGCCCTGGGTTCAATCCGCTGTAAGGGAAGGGGGCTCAAGGAAAACTCTAAAGTGATTCCCCAAACTTCACCCCTCTTCTCCGGGAAATTTGGAACTCTAGCTCCCGAACTGCTGCCTAGAAGACCCCCGCTCCCCGGCTCCTAACTCCATTTCTAAACATCCTCCCGAGAAATCGGGATGCTCAATTTCACTCCCACGGCCTGGCCGCTTCTCTACGTGCCCCTTCGATTTCCGGGGTTCGTTTACCCGCCCCCCTCTCCCTTCCCTGACGTCCCAGGGGCGCAGACCCTGCCTGGCCGCCTCTCTCTGGTCCGCGGCGTCCCCTCGTCCTCCACGGGGAGCCGGGCGCCGCGCTCCGGAGACGCCGGCCGCGCCCCGGGCGGCCATTGCGCACACGCGGGGCGGGGCGGC